TCTGCAAAACCATAAACAGGGATGTGAAGTGCATACATGTAGTTTTAACCGATGTGTGCTCAATGAACAGAACCATTATGAATATTTTTTTCTGGGTCTACTCAAAAAATAATTTTCCCTAATCCTAATCCTGATCCTGATCAGAATATGAAGTATTATATGAATTTTATCTGAACAGTTTGTTTAAAATACTGTCAAAGCAGTTTCACTGGGTTTTTATTTTGCCATTTTTATTGATATGCAAATATCTGCTAAAGTGAATTAATGTGAGCATAAAATATTACAATAGAATTAAGCGTTTTTGACTAACAAATCAACGAATTTAAAACCCAGTGAGTGTCACTTGAAATTAAATATCTAAATTAACTGCTATATTAAGAAGTATACATCAACTAATGAATTACATAGATATTATATGTAATAATTGGCCTATACACGCACAGACATTAAATCAACATATAAATTATATAAATAATGACTACTCAGTTTAATAAATGGTTGAGTCAGTGAATCCGGGATATAATCAAAAAAATCTGCATATGATTGCTATAATACCGATAAACATACTTAACACTAGACTTTGCAGACACAAATTACAGCAAGTTATTCAAGTCATTACTTCAAATAATGAAAGATACAAATCTTTATTAACTATTTATGAGAGTTTTATGATCAGATCAATTCAACCACATGGCAGGTAATGGTCACAATCGACCTTAAACTTTGTTATTTCCATGGTTTCAATTCTACCATTGCTGCACAGATAATTGAATCACTACAAAAACATAATTTTTCTTACAACATTTCAGCAATCTCTAAAAATGACATTATTTATTCACGTCCTAATCAACCATTACGTGTGAAAATACATGGGGCTGAAAGGTTCATGATTAATGTAAAGATTACAAATTTATAATCAAACATGTAGCAAAGCTAAAACTATATAAAAAATTATGCATGTTACTTTTTTGAAGGCTTTTTGTTAGAAGTTACATTTTCACCAAAAATTTAAAATAAAAGCACTAGTACGGTAAGTCTATTTTAATGACAATTAAAAAAAAACTATAAAAATTATAAAATATATTACCTGTATTTGTGGTATCACATATGTGTATATATCATCTGGAGTTGTCACATCTAGTACTATCTCATTATCATTCGTACTAGCTGTGAGAATGACATTATACAAACCCTGTAATGAATGACATATATAATAACACTGGCCTTGTTATATGTAGTGACATTAAAATGTGTACATAAAAATGCAAGAATGATTTTATCAAATTTAACCGGGTACCTTCATATCTGCGCATTATGACACACAAAAATATTAATTATAATAGAAAGCGGAAGTTGCTCAATCATAGACCTCAGTAATTATTTAATATAAACACATTTAGCGCAATGGATAACTACATAGGTTATGAAAGGTTGTAGAGTATAGCATGATAGAGCATGTGTAGATGATTGCAAGATTGCACATTAGGTAGCTAAAATATGGAATGTCATGAACCAATCATGAGGAGTTAACTTACAGAACAATGAGATGCCACATACACTGTAATGATATCTGTCACAGAGAGATGATGGTAGACTTGTTCATGTATATAATATTGATAAAGTCTATCATCAATTAACAGTAGCAGCGATGAAGAATCAAGAAAAGCAGCAGATGAGACAGTGGTACCCTGTAACATAGCAAGGTCATCAATTAGCATCATTTAATGATAGTGGTTAATTACGATGATTGGTACAATTATATTGTGTTTTCAGAATTCAA